GGTGAAACTGAAAAATACTCACCAGTCTCTGTAAGGCACTCCATTATTTGGCACGGGCCTTCTATCAAGGCCTTGAATTATCAGTCCAGAAGAAAATAATATCTTCAACATACTGCAACTTATATCAGTATTTCAAGAAAGTTATCAGGACATCTCTGAGAAGCAAAATTATTGCCACATACACATCACTTACCTGTACAGTTAGCATATCCACCATAAAGCATCATTAGCCTTTACTCAGTCTTCAAACACTTTTACTCCCTGTTCAGATTGTGATTTTCAACTAAATCAAATAGCTGAGCAGGGAAGCTACCTTACCATGCAATTATTTGGAAAAAAACCCAAGTATAGCACAGATTGCAACTAGGCTGCTTTATTTTATTACTGTACGACCTGGGTTCAACATGGTTGGCTCAGCTGCATGAGGCCCCTAGTGGAAAAAAAACATGGACTTTTATTTTTTTTTTTCTTCCTATGGTACAGGTAGAGCTCATTGACTCTACAAGAAGGTCACAGGCACAAGGTAACATCGGGATATGGCTCATGTTAATTAGCACCTATCTACCACCTTTTAGCTCCTACAGCAATCTGCCAGTTTATTTTATGACTTAACATCATTCCTTCAACCCAACAGGAGATAACAGTATTTCTGGACTGAGGACACACTTCCATAGCAAAATATGTCTAGACTTTTACCTTAGCTTAGCCTACGTACAGAATCTCTCTTTTATACCAACATGACCTGAATTTGCATATTGCTTACTGTTTCTTCCTCCAGAAAGCACTGCTGAGTCTGCTTTTAAACCTTTCTGTGAAGGTATATTTTTAAGAGGAATTTTACATTTATTACTCAGTTAAAACCCTGCAGCTTTAGAAGTAACACTTTTAGAGAGCATATCCTCCATCCCTTGGTTTGTTAAGAACCCTGTAAGTATTTTGAAACAGCCTATAAAGTCAGGAATGGGCTGCCTACTATCTGTATTTGCTAAATTTCTTGGTCATCTGTGTGAGTGTGTATATATATATATATATACACACACACACACACACACACACACACACACAAAAGTGAGCCTGAAATGTCCAATAATGTCAGCAAAAGCACATTCTGGTTATCCTTATCGTAAGTGATACAAACCACAAGAACAAAATTACCAGAAAATGCAAAGGGTAAATGCCTGCCTTTATTTAAAATACATGTTTTTTAACTGAATATTACTATGGACAAATCAAGATTTTCACAGATTTGAAAGCCAGAAAATATTTATCATTCTATGAAAAAGACACTTCAAAAAGTTATTGAGTAAAAAAATTAGAGGAATCTAATTTACAGCAGAAAGACTTGGGAAAAAATAACCAGTGGCATCAAGAAAACTAATTTTAAAATTTTAAAATTCATAAAATTTTAAAAGACTAAGGCTCAGAATTTACAAGTGAGGACAATTTATGTCTGCAATAATTTTCACACTACAATTCCTATTTATTGCTGTTTTCAGTTCATGAATTACCTTCTGTAAGCTGTTTTAGCCAAACTCAAGTTACTGGTCACATTATACAATAATGGATTGAAATGTAATGCTACATGACATCATATGAGATAATCCAGTCACTCCTTCACTTTAAGACTAAATAAATTCAATTTGCAATTTTTAGCAATCTTAATATCCATCACATGATGACAACATTCAGAGACTTTAGTATGCTTCACTGGCTGTGACAATATGGAAAGGAACACAGTAACATATCTGAAGTAAAAAATTTAGTCCCAGATCAGTACTAGTTTTTAAAATGTGGCATTTCCTAACAGGAAGTCTCTTTGTATACTTCAGTAACTGACATGTTTGTTACCAACCTATTATCCCATTTAATTTTTCTTTAGCACTTCTTCAATGTGTTTAAACACACTAGCATCTTCAATGGTCGGTGTTATCTGAAAAGGAAGAATATACAGAACCATATGATAGTAGATTACTGTTCTTCAACAGTAAGAAAGAACTTCATTCAGAAAATCTTCTAAATCTAGCCTTCAAAAGCAATCAAGACAAAAGGTATCTAGAAAGCTCTGGAACATTAAATTTGGATAAGGCATAGTAGAACTAAAATATAATGTACTACTTGATGTCATGGACCAGTTGCAGAATGGTCTAAAGAATCAAAACCATGATTTTGTGTCTTTGGATGTGCATGTGTGCCCAATTCATTAAAGCATGTATCTCCAACTTACCTTATATGGCTTTCCACTGACAAGTGCGGAAAGAGCTGAACGTGGTATCTTGCCAGAGCGTGTTTTTGGTAGCTGTTTCACAAACACCCCCTTCTGGAAAGCTGCTACGGGACCAATGTTAGTTCTAACTCTATCAACAATCTCTTCCAAAATCTTCTCCTCTTCTGTTTTTACACCTAGTGAAGAAGTTTGTATCTTTTAACCTTTCTGTGACTTTTGCAAGTTTTAGTAACATCAGTAGCAGTGAATTCTCACCTTCTCTCAGTACACACAGCGCAAATGGAACGTGTCCTTTTAAAGGATCCTCCTGGCCCACAACAGCACAGTCTGCCACAGCGTGATGGAAGAGAACACACTGAGGGACAGAAAACAAAACCAAACTGAACCAATAATAACTGAACATTTCAGTGAAAAAAATCCATAGGCAAGGGCACATTATATCTCATATTTTGACAGCAAAAAGTATTTAATCAGTACAGCTTAAGATTCCAATTACACATGTTGCAGATACGCGTGTGTATACTTTCATACACACTTATGTGTCGTTTTCAAACAAATATAAGAAATAAAAACTATGGCAGCATGAGATACAAATATAGAACAAAGCAAAGGTGATTTCATTACAGCTTTGGGAGAGTATCACATCTTTGTTTTTGTTAGTGAGATCTTTGCTGGAACAAATAACATTAGTCTAACATTAGGAATAACGTGGAATTAAGCGTGTGGAGCAAGGACCAAAACCACAGAAGCACTCCTACTACAGGGCTATAAAGTCATATTGGTTCATTCTCTCTGGCTCCTATCTTTTTCATTCTTTGCTGCACAAAGGCATAGATTCAACCAAAGCCAAATACAGGCCCAACCTCATCTTACAGCCAGCCTAGTTGAGCTCACTCTCTTGGAAATATTATGTCTCAGCCTCCTTAGACAAAAATGGGAATTAAACTAGAGTCCCCTTTCCTCCCTCCTACATGTTTACACAATTATACAAGTGATGAACAGTAGCACTAATATCTCAAAAACTTTTTTAGGAAAACCCATCCTAAATGAAGATTTCACAATCCTTAAGATTTGTAGTCAAAGCAGGAAGGAGAAACTGAGTCTCTGTGCCATGGTCACACCATGTAGTTTTTAGCAAAATAAATCTGCACAGTGTTTCTTGCACACTTTCTTTGAGAGACGCTATAGTCACTTCACAAATTATGATCCCAGAAATGTCCCACACTACAAAAAAAAAAGGGAAAAGGGAAATACTTGGCTTAATATTAGAAGCATTCTTTAGGAAAGTACAAAAGCATGACCATTTATACACACCTTTTGAAACTGCAG